CGCTGGGTGGCGTGCAGGCCGCCACACTGCTCTCCAGTGCGGTCACCGGTGCGCAGGACGTAAGTACAGGGACCAGCACCCCCAGACCCTTGGCGCCTCGCGTACCACTCACGAAGCTGCTGGGGCGAAGGGGTCTCACGAGAGCGCTGCTGCTGCTGGGGTCCCCGCTGCACAGCTCCGCCTCTGCCAGCTCCACCTCCGCCGCCGCCGCCTCCGCCTCCTCCACCCCTCCCGCCACCGCCACCGCCGCCTCCACCTCCACCGCCGCCACCGAAAGCCCCACCTCTACCACCACCTCCACCCCCACCCCCTCCTCCGCCTCCACCGCCACTACCGCCGCCCCCACCACCTCCTCCAGCTCCCTTGCCCTGCTTGCCCTTGCTGATCCGGCGCCTCTCACTAGGAGCAGACGCAGCGCTGACCGACTCGGTGCCAACAAGGTCGACAGCAGCAGCAGAGGCAACAGAGGGCAAAAGAGGAACGGGGGAGCACCCCTCAAAGAAAGGGGTACGGGGGTCACCACGAGAGGCGCCTACAGCGGTGATACTAGTCTCTGCTGCAAGGAGGCGCTCCTCGAGGAGGTCGACAGTGAGGGTGGTAGGGCAAAGAGAGAGGAAGTGGTCCCTGACCGAGCGGAGAGTGTCAGGGAGTCGAGTGACTAGGTAGTAGAGGGTGATGTACATGGGGGGGGGGGTTCTGGGCGCAGAACTCAGCAGGAAGCGCAGCGCGGTAGCGAGTGTCACTAGTGCGGAGGTGCGTAATGAGGTCAGTGACTGTGGCAAAAGCAGCGAGGTCAGGGAACAGGTACGGTAGCATGAGGCGGCTAAGCGCAGCAGTGGCAGGGGAAGAGTAACGTGCAACTACTGCGTCGTACAGAGTCTTAGCACTCTTGTATTGACTAAAGTGCGCGCGCTCAGTAGACGGTAGGTGACTACGCACAGCAAGGCGGGCAGCAGCATCGCGCGTGAGCCACTGCGAGCGAACGGTACTATCAGCATCAGCAGCAGGGGCAGTAGAGGCGCCCGACGTAAGATCAAACAGGGAGAGACCATCCTTGCTATCGCACTGAAGGAAAAGCTGCAGATCATCTAGCCTGACATCAAAGTCAACCGCTCGACCCTCAGCATCAAAGGTGAGAAGACTAGGACTAGCCATGATAGGAGCAGCAGCAGACTAGCAGCGGCAGCAGTGCAACTGAGCGAGGCAGGACAGTGCGACTCGGCAGGGCGACTCGGCAAAGCAGTGCGGCTCGGCCGCGCGGCTCGGCCCGGCTAGGCTCTTACCAGGGGCGGAGCCGACAGGTCCGGGACTAGGTCGGGGCCATGACAGGGCTGGGACAGGGTCGGGGCCGAGCAGGGTCCGGGACGGGGCAGCAACGGGGCCGGGACAGGGTCAGGGTCGGGGCAGGTCCGGGACAGGGTCGGGGCCGAGCAGGGTCCGGGACGGGGCAGCAACGGGGCCGGGACAGGGTCGGGGCCGGGGCAGGTCCGGGACGGGGTCGGGGCCGGGGCAGGTCCGGGACGGGGCCGAGGTAGGGCCGGGACAGGGTCGGGGCCGGGGCAGGTCCGGGACGGGGCCGAGACGGGGCCGGGGTAGGGCCGGGACGGGGCCTTTTAGGGGCGGCGTAGGGGCCGCGTCAGGTACGGGGCCGGGTCGGGCCGTTTAGGGGCCGCGTAGGAGCCGCGTAGGGGCGGCGTAGGGGCCGCGTAGGGGCCGCGTCAGGGACGGGGCCGGGTCAGGCCGTGTAGGGGCGGCGTAGGGGCCGCTGAGGGGCCGCGTAGGGGGCCGCGCAGGGGGCCGCGTAGGGGCCGGGTAGGGGCCGCGTAGGGGCCGCGTAGGGGCCGGGTAGGGGCCGCGTAGGGGGCGCGTAGGGGCCGCGTAGGGGCCGCGTAAGGGCCGCGTAGGGGCCGCGTAGGGGCCTGGTAGGGGCGGGGCCGCGTCAGGGACGGGGCCGCGTCAGGTACGGGGCCGCGACGGGGCCGTTTAGGGGCGGCGTAGGGATCGCGTAGGGGCCGCGTAGGGGCCGTTAGGGGCCGCTAGGGGGCCGCCAAAAAAAAAATTAGGGCAGGGCGCGAGACGCGCTTCGGGCAGCTAAAAAAAAATTGCTTATGGTGGGCCCTTAGGAAGGAACGGTCCCATGAGGGAACCCGCTCTATACCATGTGAAGAATTAAACAGGAATGATTGAACTAGAAATGAGGTGGGTACAAATAGAGAACACAAAAGTGTTGTACCCTCTAGGAACTACCCCACTACAGCCTATATAGGCTAAGGCATATACATTTGACAGTATCGAGAGTAGCGGGAAGGGAAAATGGAGAAGAGGGGTTTCACTAAGAGAACAAGGTACAAGATATAGGAGCGAGAGATAGCAAACGGTGCACCACCTGCAGGGAATATAACAATAACTACACTAATATGCATGGGGGTGATGGGGGTGATGACTCAACAGTGCAGAGAAGAGCAACACATCATATGGGGAAGAAGACACGAACAGGACAAAGGTAAGAACGCAGCTTGACAAAAACAAATCGTTCTTGGGGCCATGCTTATGCCCATGCCCCAGCCCATACCCAAACCCATGCCCCCGCCCATGCCCGCGCCCATGCCCACGCCCATGCCCATGCCCATGCCCACGTCCGCGCCCATGCCCACGCCCATGCCCACGCCCATGCCCACGCCCATGCCCACGCCCATGCCCACGCCCATGCCCACGCCCATGCCCACGCCCATGCCCACGCCCACGCCCACGCCCATGCCCACGCCCATGCCCATGCCCATGCCCACGCCCACGCCCACGCCCATGCCCACGCCCACGCCCATGCCCATGCCCATGCCCACGCCCACGCCCACGCCCACGCCCACGCCCACGCCCACGCCCACGCCCACGCCGCCCATGCCCATGCCCACGCCCACGCCCACGCCCACGCCCACGCCCACGCCCACGCCCACGCCCACGCCCACGCCCACGCCCACGCCCACGCCCACGCCCACGCCCACGCCCACGCCCACGCCCACGCCCAGCCCACGCCCACGCCCACGCCCATGCCCATGCCCATGCCCATGCCCCCATGCCCACGCCCACGCCCACGCCCACGCCCACGCCCACGCCCACGCCCACGCCCACGCCCACGCCCACGCCCACGCCCACGCCCACGCCCACGCCCACGCCCACGCCCACGCCCATGCCCACGCCCACGCCCACGCCCACGCCCACGCCCACGCCCCCATGCCCATGCCCATGCCCATGCCCATGCCCATGCCCATGCCCACGCCCACGCCCACGCCCACGCCCACGCCCACGCCCACGCCCACGCCCACGCCCACGCCCACGCCCAGGCCCATGCCCATGCCCATGCCCATGCCCACGCCCACGCCCACGCCCATGCCCACGCCCACGCCCACGCCCACGCCCACGCCCACGCCCACGCCCACGCCCACGCCCACGCCCATGCCCATGCCCATGCCCATGCCCATGCCCATGCCCACGCCCATGCCCACGCCCACGCCCACGCCCACGCCCACGCCCAGGCCCACGCCCACGCCCACGCCCACGCCCATGCCCATGCCCACGCCCACGCCCACGCCCACGCCCACGCCCACGCCCACGCCCACGCCCACGCCCATGCCCATGCCCACGCCCACGCCCACGCCCACGCCCACGCCCATGCCCATGCCCATGCCCATGCCCACGCCCACGCCCATGCCCATGCCCATGCCCACGCCCAGGCCCATGCCCATGCCCACGCCCACGCCCATGCCCATGCCCATGCCCATGCCCATGCCCATGCCCATGCCCACGCCCATGCCCATGCCCATGCCCATGCCCATGCCCATGCCCAAGCCCACGCCCACGCCCACGCCCACGCCCACGCCCACGCCCACGCCCACGCCCACGCCCATGCCCATGCCCATGCCCACGCCCACGCCCATGCCCACGCCCATGCCCACGCCCATGCCCATGCCCCCATGCCCATGCCCATGCCCATGCCCATGCCCACGCCCATGCCCACGCCCATGCCCATGCCCATGCCCATGCCCATGCCCATGCCCACGCCCATGCCCACGCCCATGCCCATGCCCATGCCCATGCCCACGCTCATGCCCACGCCCATGCCCATGCCCATGCCCACGCCCACGCCCATGCCCATGCCCATGCCCATGCCCACGCCCATGCCCACGCCCATGCCCATGCCCATGCCCATGCCCACGCCCATGCCCACGCCCATGCCCACGCCCATGCCCATGCCCATGCCCATGCCCATGCCCATGCCCATGCCCACGCCCATGCCCATGCCCATGCCCATGCCCCATGCCCATGCCCATGCCCATGCCCATGCCCATGCCCACGCCCATGCCCACGCCCACGCCCACGCCCATGCCCATGCCCATGCCCATGCCCATGCCCATGCCCATGCCCATGCCCACGCCCATGCCCATGCCCATGCCCATGCCCATGCCCACGCCCATGCCCATGCCCATGCCCATGCCCATGCCCACGCCCATGCCCACGCCCATGCCCATGCCCATGCCCATGCCCATGCCCATGCCCATGCCCATGCCCATGCCCATGCCCATGCCCATGCCCATGCCCATGCCCATGCCCATGCCCATGCCCACGCCCATGCCCATGCCCATGCCCATGCCCATGCCCATGCCCATGCCCACGCCCATGCCCATGCCCATGCCCATGCCCACGCCCATGCCCATGCCCATGCCCATGCCCATGCCCATGCCCACGCCCATGCCCACGCCCATGCCCATGCCCATGCCCATGCCCATGCCCATGCCCACGCCCATGCTCACGCCCATGCCCACGCCCATGCCCATGCCCATGCCCATGCCCATGCCCATGCCCATGCCCACGCCCATGCCCACGCCCATGCCCACGCCCATGCCCATGCCCATGCCCATGCCCATGCCCATGCCCATGCCCATGCCCATGCCCATGCCCATGCCCATGCCCATGCCTCCCTTCCACCTCCCACCGACCTCCTGCCCTTATCTGCTCACCTGTTCCCTGCACTCAGCGAGTGTGCCCATGCCGTCTATGAGGTGGAAGCAGAAGAAGGCCCTGAGGCGCAGCAGTGCACCCCATGCCTCCCTACCCACCTCCCACCTACCCTCCCACCCACCTCCCCCCACATATGCACCTGCTCTCTGCACTCAGCCAATGTGCCCATGCCGTCAATGAGGTGGAAGGGGAAGAAGGCCTTGAGGCGCAGCAGAGTGTCGTAGTGCTGGCGGAATATGTGGTAGCGCCGGCGCGCCGACTTCTCACTGTGGAGAGGGAGGGGAGGGAGGGGAAGGAGGGAAGGAGAAACGGAAGAGGAGTTACATTGAAGGTTGAAGGGAAGGAGAGGGGTGAGAGAGCTCATGGGCGCAGCAGCGTGTCGTAGTGGTGGCGGAATATGTGGTAGCGGCGGTGCGCTGACTTCTCACTGCGAGGGAATGGAGGGTAAGGAGAGAAGACACACTGAAGAAGAGGGAGAGAAGTTGGAGAGACAGCAAGCAGCATGCACCCCGTGCACCAACATGCCGTTCTTACCCCCGCGCTTCTTCTTAGGCTTGGAATTCCCGGCCATACTTCCTGAGTGGCGCTCCGTGGTCGGAGTAGTGTGCATCGGCTTTCCGGCAGCGGTATTCTTCGGCTTCGCATCAGCAGCAGTGGCCTCGGGGGGATCCTGTTACCCCAAGGAAAGTTTTTTCAGCAGCTTTTTCATCAGACTGGCCTCAAGCTTCGGAATCATCTCCCTCCGAATCCTGTCTTCAATCTGCTTGGCATGCTGTTTCATTATCTCTACGACACCAGCTTCAACCTCCATTTCCTGCACCTCCTCGGACGCAGCTGCTTTCTTCAACTCTTCGGCGGCGGCCTTGTTCTGTCGATAGAGCTCACGGATGACGATCTCATCCTTTGCAGCCACAATGTCGGAGTTATCCTTTTCAATGCATCAACCCTTGAGTAAACGGTACCTCTCCTTGGCGGCGTCAGACACCACCATATCGGGGTCAGCACTGAGGCCTTTGATATACTCCTCCATCTTTGAAGCCAGAGCGACGACATGCAAGTCCACCGCCTTCTGAATCTCCTCAATCTCCAGTGCTTTCGAAGCGATAAAATCAGCCTGCAGCCGCTTTTGATCCGCCAAGTGAATCTCTGCAACGGACGCGGCCGATTTCTCCTTTACGGAGGCAAATTTCGTCTGGAATTCGACGGCCTTCATGCGGATGCTGTGAAGCACCACGCCTTGACGGTCCGACTCCTTCGTTCTTGAATTTGCTTTTTGCCTTAAGCAGGTTCTTGAAGTCGTCGCGGAAGCCCTTAACAGCCAACGAAGTCCACCCCTTGAAAGGTTTAGGGATTGGAGTGTTGTCAGCCGGGTCCGGCATCATGATGCGTGGACGACTCTCAGAAGGTCCAGGGAGAGGATTATCAGCTTGCTTGTGCACCAACATGCACCCCATGCACCAACATGCACCCCATGCACCAACATGCACCCCATGCACCAACATGCACCCCATGCACCAACATGCATCGATAGTCTGAATTGCTCACCACAGGTCAGTCGCCCGCACTTCCTGCAGCTCTCCTATCCTGCTGTCCAGCACGCGCTGGTTGTGCTGAATGCGCCCTTCCCCTCAATTCTCTCACGTGCATGCATGCATATCTGTACCCCCACAAACACACAACAATGCCCCCCTGATTCCTCACCACAGGTCGGTTGCTCTGACTTCCTGCAACTCCCCTATCCCGCTGTCCACCACCCGCTGGTTGTGCTGAATGGCCGCCCTGCCTCGTGCTAGCTGCCGCCGCACACTCTCCTCCTCCTCCACATACCTACAGGAGAGGGAGGGGAGAGGTGAGGGGAGAGAGGAAGGGAGAGGGGAGGGGAGAGGGGAGAGGGATTATTGTATGGAAGAAGACGGGGGGAAACGAGGAGTGGCGGACACTGAACATGCTTTAACACTCAAGTATCTCTAGAGAGTCAAGGAGAGTCAAGGTGACTCTTTAGACAGTCACGTAGCCCGGCAACATGTAATTTGGGCTTACAGGACAGCAATGCGGAAGATGGGTCGCGGGAACTGTGCTTCCAGGGGCGTGTTGAGATACTTGTGATGCAGCTCCATTAGCCTGGATGGTGGGAAGGGGAACGAGAGAGGGGAGAGGAGAGCAGCTATGAGTGAGTAAGCAACGCCAAGCACCGGATTGGGGAGGAGAACTGTGCTTCCAGGGGCATGCAGAGCAACATCTTATGAGTCGCCTAAGAAATCACCTGTCATAGAGCATAGACCTGGTGCAGAGCAGAGCACAGAATGACCACACCTGTGCCAAACCAGACCACACCTCAAACCACACCTGTCACAGAGCACACCTGCATCGCACTGCACCACTTTGCACTGCACCGCACCTGCCATAGAGCATATTGATAAAGTCCACCTGCATGGTGGTGCGTGAAAAAGCCGCCCATCACCACTTTTAAGTCGACCCAAACGTCACTAGCCATAGAGCACACCACACCTGTCGGAGGCCACACCAGCACCGCACTGCACCACTTTGCACTGTACTGCACCGCACCTGTCATAGACTTAACCGCATTGCACCACTTTCCACCGCACCTGTCATAGAGCATCTTGATGAAATCGACCTGCACGGTGGTGCGTGGAAAGCCGTCCACCACAGCGCCCGCCACTTTGCCGCCCGCCTCGGGATTCGCCACCACCTCCCCGTGATCCGCGTCCTGTAGCATGGCTGGCGTGTTGCCTAGTGTGAGGATGCGCTGATGGGGGGTGAGAGAGAAGAAGGGTGAAAAATCGTTGAGGGGCTAGGAAGGAGGGGGCGAAGTGGGGGTTGAGGATTCGCCACCACCTGCAGCGTGGCTGGCGTGTTGCCTCGTGTGAGGATGCGCTGAGGAGGAGAGAGGGAGGGGAGGGAGAAGTCGGGATTCACATGGCGAGAGGAAGAAAAGAGACGGTTAGTATTCGCTGAGCCAAGAGGGAGGAGGGAGAGAGAGTGGTGAGTCAGAGACTGACTTACGCGCCCAAATCATGGCCAAGGCACCTGAAGGCTCACCTGAAGTACCCGGCAGCCTACCATCACCAACTGACGGCTCACCTGAAGCACCTGGCGGCTCACCTAAAGCACCTGACGGCTCACCTGCAGCACGATCTGCAGCACCATGGAGTCAGAGACGAGCCCGCCGCTTCTCATGATGGCTCACTTTAGCCACCTGACGATTCACCTGAAGCACCTGACGGCTCACCTGGGGCACCTGACGGCTCACCTGCAGCACGATCTGCAGCACCATGGAGTCTGATACGAGCCCTCCGCTCCTCATGATGGCCGCCACGTCCTCGTTGCCGCCCAGCAGGTCGCTCACTTGTATGGCACGCGCTGCACGCACAGTGAGTGAGTGAGGGAGGGAGGGATTGAGGGAGGGAGTGAATGAGTGCCGCCCAGCAGGTCGCTCACTTGTATGGCGCGCGTTGCACGCACAGAGTGGGTGAATGAGTGAATGAAGGTGTAATTTAGTGTGCCAGAGTGAAGGAGGGAGGGAGAGAGTGAGTGAGTGCCGCCCACTCCCCCTCAGACCACCCACTCCCTTTCAGACCACCCACTCCCCTTCAGCCCACCCACTCCCTTTCACCGCACAGCACCACACCATATCACCCACCTTCAAATCCCCGCGTGCGGAGGATGAAGGGCGTGTTAGTGCCCTTCCCCGCGCCAGGCACGCCGTTAAGCCACACGATCTCCTTGGGCGGCGACAGCTGCTTTGAGACACACCCCTCTCTACCGCACCAAACTGCACCGAACCCACCCCCCTACCTTCGAATCCGCGCGTGCGGAGGATGAACGGCGTGTTGGCGCCCTTCCCCGCGCCAGGCGCGCCGTTAAGCCACACGATCTCCTTGGGCGGCGATAGCTTCTTTGAGACACACCCCTCTCTACCGCACCAAACCGCACCTAACCCATCCTCCTACCTTCGAATCCGCGCGTGCGGAGGATGAATGGCGTGTTGGCGCCCTTCCCCGCGCCAGGCGCGCCGTTGAGCCACACGATCTCCTTGGGCGGCGACAGTTTCTCCTCGCCGCCCGCCGCTATCACCCCCTGCCACGCCTCCTCGAACGCGCGCCGCGACTCCATCGGAATCTGCACACAGAGGAAACGGGGGGGAAAGGAGAAAGGGGGAATGGGGGGGAAAGGGAACGAAAATGGATTGGGAGAGGGAAGCGCTGGAAAAGGGTGTATATACTGGGCGCTTCAGAACCCCCTCTCCACCTTTAAATCACCTCCAGTGCCTCACCTCACCTCCAGTGCCTCACCTCACCTCCAGTGCCTCACCCGGACTGTCCATCTCACCTCGCTAGCCTCACCTCGAGAGCCTCCACGTCGCCTTCCTTTAGCCTCTCGTCCAGCGATCGCTGCGACGGATGCCCGATGTCCATCGCCAGACGCTCCATCTGCACCGTCAGATGGGCCTTCTCTCCTTCAGCCTCTCGTCCAACGTCCACCCCCGGCGACGCGGAAGGAGGTTCATTGTCGGTGCGCTGCTCGCCGAGCCTGTCGCTGTGGCTACTACAATGGATCGCGCCGTCATTGTCGCCGTGAAACACGGTCGTCGCGCCGACCTCTTCAACTGCTGATTCGCCGCCAGCTTGCTCGGAGATCGGATCCGCTGACGTGGCTAGCTGCGCGTCTGCTGACTTGGCACGCTGCGCGACCTCGAATCCCGCCTGTTGATGGAGCTGTGCGACGCGTGCGACGCTTTGGAAGAAATGCATGCGACTAACTGCGACGGGGTCGTGCGGGAGAGCAATGGGTCCTCTGCATCGGAGATTTGATCCTGGTTGGCATAACTGACCACCGTGACCATAACGCTGTGGTTTTCCGAGAGCATCAGGCGACGAAACGCGGGTTGCGACGACGGAAGTGTGTAAATGACGAGCGGTTTCAATCGGTAACGAATCAGAATAGCCGTGACGTAGGACAGTAAGGGGTTCAGTGAGGCGAAAGGCAGGAAGAGCGAGACGCGAGGCTGTGAGAGATACTAGCCTCCGTCGACTGACGGACAGCGCGGCGCGAGGCATTTTGACAGATCTCTAACGAACCTCCGTTAATGAACGCGGAAAAAACGGCTCTCAGTGGGCTTCACTGATCAGTCCAAACACGCGTCACAAACGAACAGTACTCCGACAGTCTGTCTTCGACCAGAGTTTCACGACCGCATCACTACTCATGGACAATGGAAAATCATACGGCTAGCTTGTTGTGAGAAGCTGGAAAACGAAGCGCAAGCACAGCTGCTCGGTCATAGAGTGGAGCGTACAGCAGAGGGGGAAGGCGGAAACCTAGACAATGTCGTCGTGACAAATGCTTGAATTCCTGAATGCTGGGAGAAGTAGAAGATCCCAAGGTGTATGGTTGCACTGATTTTGCTCTTCAGTGAGCTCTTGAAAATGTCAGGAGACCTCCCACCTTCCGTGCAACATGAGCGTCAAAATTCCCGTATTTTTTAGTCCATCAAATGAGTCTCACACCGAGTGTTGCAACGAAAACATATCTTTGAGGTGGTTATCAGTGCTCGAATGTGGATTTTAGCTATAAAGAGTCGGAAATTCAAGTCCCCCTGACTTGACAGACAGGATTCGTAAGTGGGGACGTAATTGGTCAAGGGCGAGCATTAGCATGTCCGTGATTGGACCTTCAAATGGCGCAACACTGGAAATGAACCAACCACGTAACAATGAAGATGTACTCGCCAGGAATATCCTCGAATTTAATCTCGCGAAACCCCTCATCGAATCACATGCCTTGCTTGCTCTGCGAAGGCAGGTTTGGATGCTGAATCAAAGATCCACGCCGTCCAGGTCAGACGTGCCACGTTCAATCTGATTCCATGTGGGCCCACATCCAGTGAGTGTGGAAGGGCAACAAACTCCGGTACTGTACAGAGAAATCATCCTCACCAAGCTCGCCCTTCCAACGATGGAGTTCGCCATCTCGCCAACAGCCCTTTGGAGCAGCAGCCCCGCCTACTGAGGCTGCGCTCCGCAAAACTCCCGAATCTGCGCCCTCAGTGGTGTGTCAGGCGTTTTTGGGGAGCGCATGGGTAATTACCTTCTGGGTAACCAGCATCGAGCTCAATGACGTCATCAGTCACCTACGCGGCTCGATGGTACCCGTCAGATCTTGCGCGTCCCTTCGTGGTACCCATCTTCCCTCTGCGGTACCCATCTTCCCTGCGTGGTCACCATCAGGCCTGTCGATTCAAGGGCATATGCCCTTAATGCCCTGAACATTAAGGGCTAGTTTCGCTCCAGCTCCAATGCGGCAAGTTCTGGATTCGTACCCCACCCGTGCCACTAAGTGTTTCGTTCGACACTTCCCCGGATGCGTTAAGGGACGAAACCAGGCCTTCCCCTTTATCTACGTTTTGGTTTCCGCTCGTAGGACCCCCCCCCCGCCCCAGGGTGCCTGAGACCCCCCCCCCCCCCCCCCCCCCCCCTCTTTCTCCTTAGCCTGCACTAGAGCGCGCCAAGGGGATTTTTCCCTTAGAGTTTTCTAGCCAATCTCGTGTGTGTAGTGTGTCTCACTCAGCCTTGGAGCACCCGAACATTCCCTTAGCGTCCAATACGAGCTGGCCGCAGTTTACAACTGTGACACATAGGATTAGGTTGGGTTAATCTGGCTAAGTTGATTGGCCTCAGAGAACTCCAACACACTTAACCAAAGCACGTCAAAGGAACTTAACTGAAGCACTCCAGCGTAGCAGCTCTCTCACCACCTTCGTTCGTGCGTTCCACGATTCCTCTCCACCACCATGCAATCCATCCACCACCACCACCACCACCCACCCAACCTCCCTCTCATCTCCTCCTTTGTTCGTGCCATGTTTTCTATGGCACTTCTCCTCCAACCCACTCTGCCGAGTAAAGCTCGCGTCGCCTCGCTCACACACGCGAGGTTTATATTTTGGCTAGCTAACCCGTTCCCTTCGTCAGCCACATTCTCCCACAATGGACCATAGCGAGGGTGAAACCCCTTCTCCAGTTTTGCCCATGACGAACGTCTCTTATTCTCGTAGTACGACCGAGACCGAGCCTTACGTACCCACGGATGTTGAAGACATGCTAGACGTAGCAATATCAGTCTTGGACCCGCGCCTTGCCCATCAAGCCTCGTCGTCATAGTCTACCCCGAGGTCCGTAGGCCGTTGTCGTCAGGTTCACCTAAGCTTCGCTAGTCCGCCACCAGACACGCAAAAGCGCGCACGATGCGTACCGCCTCCACCCACTGCTGAGGAGCTGGAGGCGCAGGACAACGCGACCGCAGAGGATGCAGAAGTACCCCCGGACACCCAGATCCCTGATGCTGAGAGGAGTCTTGCACGTCGCTTCAGCACGTCGTGGAAGCAGACGTACTCGTGGCTGAGCTTGAAGTACAACAAACAGGAGCGCCAGTATGGTATGAAGTGTTCCGTCTGCTGTAAGTTCGCTCCTAACACCAAGTCTCCCTTTGGCGGTGCTGGAGTCGGTGCAAGGGATTTTCAGAAGTCGGCGTGCTGCAACCATGACCAGTCCAAGGTGCACCTCGCGGCCATGGAAGCTGAATGACTCGCTGAAGGCACGGAGGTGAGGCAGCGCAGCCTCTTGAATATGCTCAGGAACGATCCTGTCATGGCGAGGGTCGTCAAATGCATGCAAGGGGCTCACTGGATTGCGCGGAACGACGCTCCTATCGCGCTCTTCCCCATGCTGGTGCGGTTCATGGCGGAGCAAGGATGCCCCGACATGATGAACGGCGAATCGTACGGTCGTTATTACTCGCGGTACGTGTTTGTTAGCCTCTGTTTCTGCTCCTGATTTCTTGCAAATACTTCTGTTCGTATGCTTCTGCTTTATTCGTACTTCTTCTGCTGTTCTATTGTGGGTAACTTACTAACATGTTCATTCGGTGCTCATTGCAGATACGCCTTCGGCGAGTTCGTAGAGGCTATGGCGGAGCATCTGGTGGCCAAGCAGCTCGTGGACATCAAAGAGTCGGCCTGGTACAGCCTCTCCTTCGATGAATCCACGGATCGCGCCCGTGGAAAGCACCTCATCGTGTATGTCACGTTTGAGAGAGGCGAGGCCGTGGTGTCCCAGTTTCTTGCTCTCCTGTCGCTCGATCGTTGCGACGCCGCAGCACTGCACGACGCGATCGTGAAGTGTCTGTGGTCGAAGGACATGTCGATGGACAAGCTTGTCGGGGTGTCAACGGATGGTGCATCCGTGATGACTGGCTCGAAGAACGGCGTTGTCGCCATGCTTCGGAAACGATGCCCGTGGCTGGTGGCGATTCACTGCGTGGCGCATCGGTAAGGTTGCACTGCACTGCTTCCTCTCGTATTTTACACCCGTCCCCTCCCCAACCATATTCACGCACGTTTCGTGCTTGTGCAGCGAGGCATTGGCTGCCAAGGATGCCGCGAAGAGCTTCAAGGAGTTCAACGCCGTCGATCAGATGATACGCCAGACTGCAGAGCGTCTCGGGCGTTCATCGACCGATCACAAGACCTACATGCATCTCCAGGGCGTCATTCTGCAGACGCACCTGGAGGTGCAAGGCTTCTGCACCGTCCGTTGGTTGTCTCGCGGGGATGCTGTGAATCGCTTCTGTGACGTGCTGCCGGTGCTCATGTGGATGTGGACGAAGGAGAAGGACGAGACGGAGAAACTCGCTACCAGCTTCAAGTTCCACTACATGCTTTATCTCTTGGCTGACGTGCTGCAGCTGCTCAACGGACTCAATCTATCCTTCCAGAAGGAGACGGTAAGGTTTTGATGAAACATGGCCTTGTCGCTTCTTGATTTGTGTGCTTGGCTCTAATGTTTTCTCGCTCTGTTTGCTTTCAAGTCGACATCGCAGAGGTGAAGAATCATGTCGACAAGGTGAAGACCAAGTTGTCGCAGTACTACGTCGAGCCCGGCGCATCCAACGGGCCAAACACCTCTCGCCTGAACAAGTTCCTTGCTGCACACGGCAGCAAGGACAAGCGCAAGCTGGAGCTCAAGGGAGTGGACGAGAACGGCAAGCCTGCAAAAGCCGAGATCGAGCTTCACGAGGACAGCATCGACCCTGAAAACCCAGAGGGGGGATGCGACTTGGAGGCATGCGTGGACCTGGCGAGGCGTTTCGCACAGCGCCTGATTAAGGCGCTGGGGAAGAGGATGGCGGACCTGCGCCATTTCGATGGTGTTGGATTTTTCTCCCCTGATAAGTATCCCGACCGTGCAGGAGAGCAGGACGCATGGGTGAAGCTCCATCTCACCGAGCTCCTTGACATGTTCAAGAACCAGCTACCTGGCAAGTCGAGAGGCTATAGTAGGAACCTGTTCTAACCTTGTATATGTTCTAACATTGAATATGTACTTGGCAGGAGTCGCTCTTGCTGACATAGAGCCGCAGATGGGCCTCTTCACAGCCACCATGGAGAAGAAGTTTAAGAAGCAGAGCTTCCATCAGGCTCTCACCAACATGCTGCGCACGGCAGACTGGAGGGATGACTATCCCACCATAGTCTCCCTCTGGCGTGCAGTCTCTGTGTTGCCCCTCAGCACTGTTGAGTGTGAGAGGGGCTTCTCCCGCCAAAACATTATTAAGTCGTGGGATCGTGTTGCACTTACTGATGTTAGGCTGGGGGAGCTGATGACGGTGAAGATGCTAGACTACCCGGTGGACTGGGCAGTGGCCTATGCCTTGTTTGAGGAGAAGGGGAGGAAGGGGAGGAAGCCTGCCAAATAGGCTTGCATTGCATGTTTGGGTGGCGTAGAGTAGTTGAGCACTGCATGCTAAAGCTGTAGTTAGTGAAAAGAAGTAGAACATTGCAGGCTAGGTAGGTTTTATGACTATTGAAGACATGTGTAGTATTAGGTATCTTTGACTTCTAATATAAGTAGAAAACTGCACGTATCATAGTAGAATACAGTGTAAGGGCAAACTTCACACATGCCCGGATTTCAAGTTTTCACTTTGGGGTGCGCCCGTGACCGTTAAGGGCGCCAAAACGTACACCTACACCCAACCAAGGGTCAGATGCGGAGGAGCTGGGGAGCGCAAGTACGAGCCCCAGAAACTTCGACAGGCCTGGTCACCATCAACCGTGCGCGAATTCCCTGACTGGTACTGCAACATTTCAACCGAGCAGTACACCGTACAACAAGGGTTTCAATGCTCTGTCCAGTATATTGTACCAACGTTTACAAGTTAAATAGGGTCAGAAGCCCGAAGTGCCACATAATCGAGTCAATACATCAAACGCATTAACTATAGTGTAGAGGAATGGCGCCATGGCCATGGCGGAGAGCTTTAACTCAGCCAATGTGTATCAATTTCTTACCTGATACTGATACTGTTACGCTCTGTCGATGCACGGCTTTAAGCTCTTTCCATTGGTGCTCTTTTAGTGTTCATTACGGGAACCTAAACACCATTTATGTGAGTTTCGGGCTAACGACAGTGCTACATGATACTTCAAGTCAGGTTTCCACACTAGGCTACTATCAGGGTTATGTGCTACTCCATTGGTTCCATCGCGGTCTCCAGATAACATCACCATTAACTCGCGACAACTCCAATGTCTCCAGTTCCCAGGGACTCCTGAACTTCAGCGGCAGCAACCTCCAAGGCCGGATGACAGTCTCTAAGGACATATCAGACCCATCGAGCCTGGACCTGCAACGCTTTGCTTTCAAGCACAAGAAATATAAATCGACAACTGCCGTGAGATACGTGGCCATTTCAGCTTGCTTCTCAGCCATTGTCGGGCTGTCAAGCTTCTTTCATCTTTGCACCATGGCGAAGGGACGCAACAACAAAGCCGGCAAGAAGACAGTTGATGACGACCACGAAAAGGTGGTGGCTGACGTACCTGACGTACCTGTGAAGATGCTGCTGACAAAGGACGAGCGCCTTCGGCTTCAACACCTGCTGATGTGATTGGCCCGTTTCAAGATCTCCTTGACCTGCAAAACAATGCTGATCAGGAGGACGGATCAGCCGAAGGAGCTGATGGAGAAGAGAGAAATGCTGATCAGGACCAGAAGGCTGCGGATGAGGACCCGGAAGCGGACGCCATTGAGCATGAGGATGAAGATGCGATGTCGGTCATGGCTCCTGACAATGAGGATGACGGTTACTTGAGTGATGACTCGGACGAGCACTTGGAACCAGATTCGCTCAGCAGTGTCATTGCTTTGAGACGGTTCTCACTAACCCTGCTGGTGCCGATTCTCAGGAAAGCGGAAGTCAAACGAGCTGCTATAACGGTCGCAGCGCTGCTGGATGACTGGAAGGAACAATTATCTCCAGATGTGTTACAGACGACGACTTACCAAGAACTCACGGCGACATATTTTTCTGGCACGCGTTACGGCCGCCTGCAAGTCACCTTCAACCACGTCAGGGATGCGAAATTCATATGGAACCAGATCATCAGTCACGAGTGTGTGAACGGCGACATCATCGATCTCACCTGGCAGTATCCGGAAGATGCTCGCTTTCTCCGTGAGCGTGTTCTGAACCCGACGGCGAAGGAAGTTGTGGTTAAAGGCGTGCCGGCTGAGATCACTGCTGAGTTAATCCGCCATCTGCTGGTGGTGTCGAAGCTGGTCAAGTGCGGCAAGAGCGCGTTCGCCAGCGGTTTTGGCTTCCATCGTACCGTTGACCCGGTCACTGGGTTAGATACTGACCGCATTCGTGGGTTGATCGTCCCTCACGCCGCTGATGAGTATCGTTGGAGGTACTTCGTTGAGGACCCGTCAACGGGGAAACGCTACCTGCTGCACTTTCCGTCGCTCACCTGCGATTTCTGCAACGGTCAGCACATGTCGCGTTACCATGATCATTACATCACCTCGCGGCAGGAGAACTTCACCAACTGGAACCTAACGGTAAAAAACGTTCATGAGATGAATGGTATAAGCAGAAAGGCTCCTCATCCACTAACTTTGCAGTCTTTACAGCTTGCCTCTTGCTTTTTACCCCTTACTGACGGTTGTTTCCCTACTTCTCCCCGCAGCTGCATCCCTGAAAGCCTCAGCCCTCATGAAACGTATCCTGAAAGACCCCGCGGTTGTACTCACCTCCACAGGAGGTGTGCGGGAGGAGTAGGTGTGTGTGCAAACGGTGTGCGAGAAGGCGCAAGGAAATCATTCCGAGCAGGCAACGGCTCACGTCGCATCTGCCAGGCACAAGGGAGGGCTGAAGAAGGACGGTGCTGCAACACGTGCCAGCAAGCACTCCCAGAAGCTGGTTGCTTTCAAGAAGGAGTTCATCGTCAAACCGACAAATAAGTGATCAGCGACTCAGTCATAATTACCTGGATGGGATCGGATGACGCAGCAAGGTGGATCGTGGGTGCAGGATGTGTAGTCAGTGCCATGTTTTCTTTCGCTGTAGCAGGATGTATTGTTGCAGTAAAGCTTAACCGCCCGTGGATGCTGTGGGGCTCAACGAAGTGGATTAATGGATAAGAACAACCAACTCACCTTTCTCGAGCTCAACATCAACGGGCTCGGCAGCAGCGGAAAGCAAGAGAGATGTGGAAAGTGGATAAGGAAGGCAGCGAACATTGTAGTCCTTACAGACACCAGAGTTCCAGCAGACCATAACTTATGGACGGAGGCCCAGGCAGTGGTGGGTCCGTCGCAGAGGGCCAGTGGGGTAGCCGTCTTGGGCTTCCTGCAAGGGATGCGGTTTACGGAGGTGATCAAACACAGGTCAGGCCGCCTTGTGAGCTTAATAGTGAAGTGGCGCGATCTAAGCTGCAGAATTGTTGCTGTGTACCTACCAGCGCAGGCCCCCCGCAAGGGGGGTGTTCTTCCGGGATGTCCTGACCCCCTTCGTGCAGAGCCTAGGCGCGATGCCTCACACGGTCTTCCTAGGTGACCTGAACATCGTCGCTGACCCGGAGCTGGATAAGTCGTCGAAGCTGGGGACCCCGGTGGAAAACCTGAGACTCTTGCAGATCTGCTCGAGGTGGGATTTACAAGACGCTTTCCGCTGCCTACACCCAAGCCGCAAGGAATACACCATTTTCTCCAGATCTGCAAGGACAAGTACACGGATCGACAGGATTTTAGTATCCCACTCACTGCTCAACTGCGTGACAGAGGCAAAGCATAAGATGGTGCCCTATGGCCTCACTGACCATTGGTTTGCGGTATCGGTCACACTTAAATCGACGTCTGCAGGTGACCACGACCCTGGTCTCTGGAGGCTTCAGGCAGCACAGTCAGGTAGTGAAGGGACCCAAAAAATCATAGCAGCGGTGCTGGCAACGCAAACAGTCCAGCCGGCCCAGAGCCTGGAGAGGCTACTGGCGAATCTGCGGGCAAGCATGAGAGCGCACGTAGCGGAGGAGAGGAAAAGGGTGAAGGCGACCATGACGCATCTGGAACAAAAAGTGGAGTCCCTAAGGTGGGGGTTGATGGCAGATCCATTGGCACAAGATACGTATGAGGAGCTGATAAAGAGTGAAGCGGCACTCAAACTTTACCAGGATGTGAACAAGGAGCGGCTCCAGGTCATGGCAGGGATGCTGGCCGAGCTGGCGGGTGAGACACCATCGGCCTTCCTGTCGGGCCTGGTCAAATCAAGAAAGGTGAAGACAGAGATCAGTGAACTTTTCTTTAAAGGCGTGCGTATGAAAGGGGCAAAAGCGGTGCTGCAGGCGGCTTCCAAACACTTCCGTGAGGCCTATGCAGGCTCACCGGCAGGGACTGTCAAGGAGTCGTGGCCGATTGATGAAAGGCGGCGGTTGCAAGAGGCTGACTGGACGATGCTTGGGAGAGAGTGGTCGGAGCAGGAGGTGAAGGAAGCGCTCAAGGGGCTCCCAGCGGGAAAAGCTCCAGGCCAGGACGGGTTGCCGAAGGAGTTCTTTGAGCGCAACTAGGAACTCCTTGGACCAGTAGTGATGAAGGAGGTCAAAGCGTTCGAAACGACGGCGCGGCTCTCCGAAACCTTCACGACGGCGGTTACGATCCTGTTACACAAAAAGGGGGACAGGGACAACTTGAATATGTGAGAATGATAGACGAAAGAATGATTGAATTAGGAAATGAGAAGGGTACAAGTAGGAAACACATAAGTGTTGTACCCTCTAAGGACTACCCCACTACAGCCTAGACCGACTATAGTAAATATATGTTTGACACACCCCCATAGGCAAAGTGGGGGAGAACAAGGGGTCACAAGACCAGTCAAGAAAGACAAAGCAAACTCAGGGTGGATCACAAAGTCACCACACAGTCTGAGCACAAGCAAAGGGCCAGAAGGCCAGTTCACATGCAGAGTTATATAAAGGAAAGCAAACAATACAGTGAGTGAACACAACCTAGCA